CAAGATGATGGGTCAAAGAGAGGAATCGAGATAGATGTCTATCTCTGCCTCACCGTAAGGGTTTCAGGTTTCGCTGCCCAGAGACAGTCTAACTTTCTTTATTCTTCCCCATCCAACAATAAAGAAAAGAGCAAGGAGGGTTCCAAACCTGTGGGGCAACCAGCCAGTAAAGGATAGAGCGTTGGTCTAGGGTTTTCATTGACCAGCGATTAGAAAGCGGTCAAAGACCGAGCGGGTTGAACAACACATAATCGGTTGTGAAAAGACTAAAACAAGAAGCGGTGTTGGTGTGGTCTTACCGGTGCTTTAGTTAGCCTATCCGCTTACCGTTGTTCGATAAATGCTCACCTTTCAGCTATCCACCTTGTTGGGAGAGGGGGAGTCACTCTTGCGAGACTAACTATATCCATATGAATTATGTCCCATTCTCTCTTAAATAAAGAAAGCTCGCCCTCGAGCCCTGGGCCAGTCGGCCGGGTCTTTCCCTGTTGTTCTGTTGGTTTCAGTAGATCCAGTTTGTCGAAAATCCAAGTTATAACAATAAATCTAGTATACTGATTGTGAAACGGTTAATTACTCAGATGGATCAACATAATCATATGATTAGTTATCGTAATGATGGTAATCAAAATACATTTTGGGCGCGCATAAAGAATTTGTATTCTCCAATCATATTAGAGGGTTTTGCTTTTATTGTAGAAATTCCATTTTCTCTAGAATTAATATATCGTCTAGAAGGGAAAAATAAAAAGATAGGCAAATCTCATACGTGATATTGGAATCCTTTTCATTTGACTTCTTCAATTTTTGATAAGAACTCATAAGGAAAGTTTAATTCAATTGAATTAATCATTTTGACTAACTGTTTTTACGTAAATGATAAGTAGAAAGGCGATAGGAACTAGAATGAATAGTGCAGTAGCAATAAATGCAAGAATATTGACTTCCATAATCTTATCGGTTTTTTTGTTGACTTTTTTGTTTTTTTTTATTTTTTCCGTCGCCGGTCTCCGGCGTTGACTTTTTTTAGTGATTTCTTTTTCTGTTTTTTTTACGCCCACCGCTAAACGTTGACCGTAATTGTGTTGTCATTAAAAGTAACTATACTGTCATTGACAGTAAATTAACATAAATATACTATCGTTGACAGTAGTACATTAACGTAATTGTACTGTCGTTGATAATACATTTATGTAATTGTATTTTCTATAAGAACTCAGAAGGAAAGTTTAATTCAATTGAATTTGAAAATTCAATTGAATTAATCATTTTGACTAACTGTTTTTACGTAAATGATAAGTAGAAAGGCGGTAGGAACTAGAATGAATAGTGCAGTAGCAATAAATGCAAGAATATTGACTTCCATAATCTTATCGGTTTTTTTGTTGACTTTTTGATTTTTTTTATTTTTTGTCCGCCGCCGGTCTCCGGCGTTGACTTTCTATAGTGATTTTTTTTTCCGTTTTTTTTAAGTCCATCGCTAAACGTTGACCGTAATTGTGCTGTCATTAACAGTAATTATACTGTCATTGACAGTAAATTAACGTAATTATACTATCGTTGACAGTACATTAACGTAATTGTACTGTCGTTGATAATACATTGATGTAATTATACTGTCATTGACAGTACAATTAAAGTTAAAGACAATATTATTATTTTTTTGGCTTTGTTTTTTTATTTTGTTTGATTTGTTGACAAGTCAACATAATTATATTACTGTCGTTGACAGTAAAATAATTGTAAAAACAATAATATTACTGTCAACCACATCAATATTATTATTTTTTTGGGCCTTTTGTTTTGTTTGAGTTATTGACGGAGTAACGTAATAATATTATTGTCTACTATTACAGTATTACTGTAAACACAATAATATTATTGTACTTGACGGTAATATTACTGTTGTTACAGTAATATTACTGTCAACCACAATAATATTAATTCTTTTGAAAAAGTTAACGCCGGAAACCGGTGGCAAAAAAAATCAGGAAGAGAAAAAAAAAAGTCAACGCCGGAGACCGACGGTCGACGGCGGCGACGGACGAAATTGTACTCAAAATTGTATTGTGGGTCAAAATTGAATAATTTGTGAAATTTTGGGTCAAATTGAGGTTAAATTAAATTAAAAGATGAAATTGGAGCATATTAAAATGTGAGGGATTATTTTAGTATTTTACAAATGTCTGGACAATGTGTGGATTTTATTGTAAAAGAGTTTTTTTATCTTGACCCGTTTATGAATAAGTACCCATTTATGGACTTATTTGTTAAGTGCCCTATTTTTTTTATTTTTTTTTTGTTTTAAATACACTTACACCCCGAAAGTATACCATATGTAAAACTTACTCCGTTAAAGTATCACTTGTAACATTTATCCCTTCAAACACCATTTAATTTGTATTTTAACTTTTAACACCTTAAAATTATCTCTTTTAGAAATGAATAACTAAAAAGAATAGTTATATTATTATTAAAAATATATAGGAGTGAGCAAGTCGGGCCCATCGACCGTTGAACCCGCCAAACCGGTAAGAACCGTCCCGCTAGAACCGGACGGATGGATACATCACTAGGATTGGGTCCTTAAATAAAGAAAATCCGCGGGTTTGGGTCTAAGACGGATTTAAATCTTTTTAGTACCCGTGAAACACGTCCCGTCCCGCCATACATAACGACGTCGTTTTCTTTATATTATGTAGTATAATAAATTAAAAATATATAATACATGAATAAAATATCTCTTACATATCAAAACTTATATCTATAACGACGACATCATCTCGTTTTATATATAGTTATCTATTTTATTTTAAATTGTCTTATAAAACTTTGGATTTAGTTACTTTTTTTAATGGATTTATAATTAAAGCGTATTATTTTGAATTACTCTTGATATTAATCATTGATGTTTCATGTTGGTTTAAATTCAAGATTTTACGTATAGTCATTCATTTCAATTTCTAAATTATTTTTTTGTAAAACTTATAAATTATTAAAAAAAATAACATGTTTAAATTATGACGGGTTTCGACTCGTGAAGGTTGGGTCAGACTATGAACCCACCATAGACCCGTCTATCCTCAACCCGTCGAAAACCACAAATTTGGTTCCTTAAAATCAAGAACAGTTGGTTGAAGGGACGAGGACGAATTTCGCTAGAACCCGCAGGCTTATGACCCGCACACACCGCTAAAAACATCTATTAAAAAATGCAATATTTAAAAATTTAAAAATATTATATGAATTGCTTTGCGTACATATTTAATAAATATCATATAACTGTTGTTGGACCAATTAATCAAATATATTCATATCGATAAATATTACGATTTTTTTTATCTTAAGTATTTTAATTTATTTTAGTTCATTAGTTTCTTAAAATATCTTTCAATTCATTATTATACAATGCATATTATTTTTTATTTTTATTCCAAAAAGTTAATTTTGATTACTTTTTAATTTTATATCCAATAATTATTAGATTGCTATGTTATTTATTTTACAAAATAAATATAAAATTCAAAATATTTACTAATTGACTTTTCAATTGATATTTTTGATAAACTAATTTTAAATTGTTTCATCTAATGGAAGTGGAAATATATTAAGATTATTATTAAATTTTAAATTTTAAAATACAAAATAATTGATATTGAAGAGCAAGTGCCACAAATGATAGTTTGAGGGTTAAGTGTTACTTATGTTATACTTCAAGAGTGCAAAGTGTATTTAACCATTGTTTTTTTAACTGGGAGCGGTTTTTTACTTAGTATATGTACTTTTCGAAACTGTATTTTCCAATTTGATTAATCAAATTTTTAGACATTCAATACCTCTTTATGATATTTTATGATGAGAGAAAACAAAATACTAATTTTATTTGTAGCACCCTTTTATTAGGTATTTATGATATGTAATACATGGTATATATATATATATATATATATATATATATATATATATATATATATATATATATATATATTATTGAAGTTAGAGTAATAAAATGAGATTAAGATGGTCACAATAATATTACTGTCTAAGACGATAATATTACTGCATTGATTGTTAAAAAAATGAAAAGAAAATTTCAAAAATATTAATATTACTGTGAGTTCTGGCTGGGAAAAAATCAAGAAAAAAAAATCAAAAAAAAAACAAAATTAATGCCAGTGGAAGGCGAGATAAAAAACAATTTTTTTTCCTGCGAGTATTTTCTCAAAAAATGTTAAAATATCAATTAATGTGATGCATTTGTTAAAATTGGAAGTCAATGTGCAATATGTTTTAAGTTAAGATACTATGAATGAAATTGATATAAATTATAGGACAAAATACACTTCATCCTCTACAAATTTCACATTTTCTGCACCTTCCCTTCTAAAAATTCCAAAAAAAAAGGGGAGAATCCTCCTTCGAAATACTATTTTGGTTGCACTTTGCCCCAAGAGCCAAATTTTGGTGGGCATCCGTGCACCAAAACTAACATTTCAAAGAGGCAATGTGCATAAAAATATTTTTAAAGAGCAATGTGCAACAAAAAATAACATTTAAAGGGGCAACGTGCAACAAAAATACTCTATTCCGATGAATAATCCATCTTAATTTTATTAACAGCACAATGTACAACAAGAATAACATTTTGAGGAGGGCTTTACTTGTTTTAAATTTGGAAGCAGTAAACTGCAAAGGTTATATCCTGAAGGATATTTTGAGCAATAGACAAGAAAATGAGTTTTTTTATAGAACTGAATTTAATTGGTCTCCCATCTTAATATAAGTACAAATAAATCTTCCTCGTGATTAAGTAATTTCTATGCTACACTCGGTGTAGGCTACACCGGATTATTTTTTATCGTTCATCTACACACACCAATGTGGGTGTGTGTATTATTGTGTCTATATAAATAGTAAAGATTTACCCCGTGTATTTCTTTTATTTTTTTTTTCTTTTTATTGACTAAGATTCGTACAAAACAAAAAAAAAATGCACTATAAAAAAAGATGATAACAATTTGAACACTCAAACTTTGTTTCTCAATATATAACAAACAAAAGGCAAACCTTTACATAAATTTCCAAAGCATGGAAAATCACAACAACCCTTCCACATTATTAGTAATAATCTCAACCAGTTATTAAGACAAACTCGATCTCAAAGGCCGAGCGATCGAGATCGAGATCGACATAGTAAAAGAAAAGAAAAAAGAAAAAAAAACACCAAACCCGCATTAACTATGCAAGAGATTTTCTAACCCCTAAGAGAAAATAAATAAATATACCAAGAAAGGGTTGTCCTAAAATACGATTTCCCACTTTTAAAAATGTCGAAAAAATAAACGAGCAACCACTCCCCATAATTCCGTAAATTAGAGAGAGAGAGAACTCATTTCTTGCCGAGAATGGTAGTTTCGGCAATCATTCCAGTGACGATGTAAGGGTCCATGTTGGAAGCTGGCCTCCTGTCCTCAAAGTACCCTTGGCCTTCTTTCTCCGTGTCCCGTCCCACACGGATCGATGCACCACGGTCCGCAACACCCTGAGAAAAAATTACGTGCCAAGAAAGTTTTGGTTACTAATAAATTTCCTAATTCTGTCAATTCTGATCCGAAAATTTACTACTTTGGTACAAATTATCATTTCAATTTACAATTTATTTTAAAAAAAAATTCAAATCCTTGTGAAAAAAAAAATCTTAAAAAATGCTGATTTCGATCTGATCCGTCCAATTTGCACCCCTGATACTGCCAATGTCTTGGAAGTATTAGGCGAATCAATCCAAATGAGATGTAATTTGTCCACTAGTTGAATTCAATACCAAATTAAATGAACTATTGTTATTATTTTAATTTTATTTTTTTTTTGTATATTTTCGACATTTATGAAGGCAAAATGAATAACAAATAAATGAATGATTTACCCATTTGAAGGTGTTAATGTCGGCAGTTTCATGGTGACCGGTGAGACGACGCTCGTTGCCCTCACCATAGGCGGCAATGTGTTCCTTGTGCCTAAGCCCAAGCTTCTCAATCGCCTTCTTGATAACCTCGTAACCTCCCTTCGCCCTCATAGACTTGGTGCTAAAATAACCCGATACACAAAATTCAACTAATTAATATACAAAAAATAAATAAATAACATGGTAAAATCATCGTTCATGTGTTTCAAAATGCCTTACCTATAATTGGTATGAGCACCGGCCCCGTTCCAATCACCCTGGTCGTTAAAAAAACAAATCATGTCAAACAATCGAAAAAACAGACGAAATCAAAAATAAAAATGAACAATTTCAAGAAGTCTATTAAATTAAAATGCCACGATTGTAAAACGGGACCGAGAAAAGTTAACCTGGATGGGCTTGGGGTCGAACGATAGCACGACTCCAGCAAGTTCAGTGATCCTCTGCAAGGATTTTTTTTAAATAAATTTTATAAACCTCAATCAATGATATTTATTTCAAATTGACATTCACATTTTAGTAATTGTTACAAAATTAAAAAAAAAATGAAAATAGTACCTCCAATATGTAACGAGCTATCCAGATCTCGTCAGCGGCTGAGATGCCAACGGAAGGTCCAACTTGAAATTCCCACTGCAAATTTTGCAATAATCATATCAATTATACGGAGATAAATAAATAAATAAATAATCATAACAATTGAGAAAAAAAATAAAAATATACGGGACTAATTATAAGTAAATATCGGAGGAAGCAAAATATTACCTGGCCGGGCATCACTTCTCCGTTGATGCCACTTATGTTGACTCCGGCATAAAGGCAAGCCTTGTAGTGTGCATCGACAATATCACGTCCGAAAGCTTTGTCCGCTCCGATTCCACAGTAATACGGGCCCTACATTTAATCCGAAAAATTGAAATTATAATCGAAGTAAATAACGGTATTCGTCTATTTCTAAAACAAAAATTAAATTTGATTTTAGGAAATAAGAATTATAGAAAATGATCACCTGAGGTCCAGGGTAACCCCCGGTGGGCCATCCAAGAGGCCACTTCACATCCTTCTGCAACAGAGTGTATTCTTGCTCGATACCGTACCTAATATCGCAAACGAAAACAAAAATTGATTATAAATTAAAATATTTTCGAGCAAAATTAATTATGTACGAACAAAAAATAAAAATTAAATAAATTGTTATGTATATATTATTATTACCATGGTACTTCAGCAACAACGTCGGGGTGGCTGAAAATCTTGGCAGCGCTATACCTCTTGTTGGTCGGAATCGGATCACCGGCCGGAGTGTATGCATCGCACATGACCTATGATAAATATTTAAATTAAATTAAAATACTTAGCACAAGCAAAAATAATACTAAAATATACAGTACAACCACGATATATTAGTACTCGATAAATTAATAAATGACACTTTCTTCAAGTCCCAACTCGGTAAAAACGTATTAAATCATTAGTTCGATAATATAATATTTCGCTAAATTAATAGAATTTAAAGATGTTTAATTGTAATTGATTTAGTAATTTAGAAGCAAGAAACATTGTATAATTAGAAAAAAAGCAAACTCACCAGAATGTTGTTTCCCCTCCTGAATGGATCTTTGAAAATTGCTTGAGGGCTGTTTTTTAATTGCAGAATAATTAAATTAATATATGCATTTATATAAACAAAAGTGTTTTTTTATTAATCTAAATAAAATAAATACAATGTGATTTAATTAAAACTTACTATAGGATGACTTCACTGTCTTGACCGGGAGCTTGACCGGTGCTCGATCCATCGTAGTTCCACCTCGGAAGCTTTGAAGGGTCACTAACCGGTCCGGGAAGAGTCTGCGCGAATCGAACAAATTATTTTTCGGATAATTTTCTTTTTTTACTAAAATATAAACAAAGGTAAAAAAGAAAAAATTATTTCAGTAAAATCGGAAAAATAAAATTAAAAAATTACCCTTGCTTTGCTGCGAATATCGATACCGGAGCCACCAATCCTGCAATTAATTTTAAATCACAAATGTGTACTTTGTGATTAATAAATTACTCAATAAAGAATACAAAACAAACGAAACAAATCTTCAATAAATACACGACAGTTGGACCGGTTCGTTGTATTTAACGGAAAAACGGAAAAAACCGGCGAGGCTAAGCAACAACATGCTTAGAAGTTACATCCAAATATATAATATCTAATATATAAAGATGAAAATATAAGCATCAATTTTAAATTTTAATCCACACGTTTTCGATCCAGTTTTTATAAAACTACATCGAACCATAATTCATGATAAGAAAAACGGGCAGTGACGGAGCCAGCATAGCGTTGACCAAGGTCAACGGGGCTGTGGCCCCCAAAGTTTCTATTTGCTTTTAATAAGACAAAATTTTGAGTAAAGAACTTCAAATATTTACTCCAATAATGAAAAGAATCCAAGAAAAAATAGGATATTTTAGAGAAATAAATATCTACAGGACTAATTGAAAAATAACAAGTTTTGTTATTAAATAATAGAACTTTTTAGAAATGATGGGGGCCATGACCCCCCCATACACACCCCTTTAGAACACACAAATCTATTGTAAGAAAGATTCGAACCTTGATTCCTTAACCATAACAAAACACAGACAAGAACAACAGATTTTTTAATAACAAACATTAAAACACACACACACACACACACACACACACACACACACACACACACACACACACAAGAGTAAAATAAAAAACAAGTAAAATAATCAAGAAACAGAGCATGCAAAAGAAGAGAAATAAAGAAATAAATAAAAAAAATAAAACCGACCATATGTATTCGGCAATGATGCTCTTGGTGGAATCAGTGAGGTTGAGATTAAGCAGATCGGAAATCACAGACATTTTTGCTTTTACTTTCTCTCTCTAGGATATGAAGAAGAAGAAGATGGTTGTTTGTGCTTGTAAATAATATACCAGGGGATTGCTTCGAGGGCCTTTTTATAGGAGATTTTTTAGAGAATAGTGACATTATAATATTGTCATTTATTACGTTTATATCTATTTTTTTTATTATTATATATAGATAATAAATAAATAAATACAGATGTTTTGTTTAAATGAAAAAAGAAATGGATTAGTTCAAAAACTGTACAATTTTGGCACTTTGCACTCTGAAAAATAATTTATGGCACGTTACGTTCTTAAAACATGTTTAATCATTCAAAGTGCACCCTAGTTTATTTTTCGATCATAATTTTCTGTCGTCGGCATATTTTATGATCGTCATTTTTGTCTACTCAGTTGTTTTTTTTCGAGCGAAAATGACTTTGTTGACAATTAGAAAAGAAGGCAGCGATGGAAATTCTGGCCGAAAAATAAAGTATGGTGCAATTTGAACGATTAAACATGTTTGCGGATGTAAAGTACCATGAATTATTACATGGGGTGTAAAGTGCAAAAATACTATATTTTGAGGGTGCTAAGTGAAATTAAGCAAAAAAGAAATTATTAAATGAAAAAGGGGAGAGAAATGCTGACTACCTCTTGTGAGAGAATCTGAATAAGATGAGATTCTCGCAGATTTATTTGACTTTTTAACCGTTGACTTTTTTAATTCACTTTTTGCTCAAAAGATTTACTGCAGTTAATTTACGGGATGTGGTAAATTGTCGTCTTAGTTTGCAAAACTCAAAACATGAAGTTTGATTTAATCCAACTTGAATCGCTAAGATTGAATGTCGAGTGGAAAAAATCATTTAATCTATTAAAATTTGTCACAATTTTTATGTTTTGAGTTATTTAAATTTCATAATGTAATTTATTCGTGCATAACGTTGTCATCATTCAACCAATCTAGATTATTCAAATTGTTTAGAAAAAAATTCAATGAACTACACTTTCCATGTTTTGCATTTTACCAAAAGGGTTTATTAGGGATAACCCCCTTGTTCATATTTTCTAATGAGGTAGATCCAATTAATTTTTCCCTTTTTGAGATACACCCAAATTTGCCAACTTGGCAAAATATATTATGTAATTTCCCTTTAATACCCCTTTTTTATTTTGTTTTATTTTTGAACGGTATTTACTTCCTTAACTACGTGATATGAGATTGCTGATACGTTGCCTAAAATCACGGAATAAAATTACGTGAGTATATTGGCGGTTTCTATCAAATCTTGTACAACCGGTTTTGAAGAATTTATCCAGCGTTTCATCGTTTTCCATCGGATTTGAAGATAGGTTCGGATTTCATAGTTTTCATCGTTTTTCATCGTTTTCCATCGTTTTCATCGTTTTCAATCGGGTTCGGATTTGAACCGGTTTTGAAGAATTTATCCAGTGTTTCATCGTTTTTCATCGTTTTCCATCGTTTTTTCACCGGCGTGGAAATAGGTTCGGATTTGAGCGTTCATCGTTGTCCGTTAGAAGAGGATGATGTTTGTTTGGAAGAGGATTGACAGAGTTAGAAGAGGATGGTTCACCCAGATCGGACCAGAGTTGTTTTATATGAGCTTCGTAGTTGGTTTATGCAATAATCGGAATAATTGTCCGCTGTGGTCGAGTTCATGTTTTTGATCCCGATCAATAGTTGGTTTATTTGTTTATAACAGCCGATTTAAGTGTGCTGGGTAGTACATTAAAATATAGTTCGTAGTCTTTTTTAATTTAGCGTATGGATTTTGCATTTTAAGTTTATTTTTGATGATATTAATGTATTGTCATTCAAATGTATTTGCAGTCTATTTAATCATTTTTTAGTATTCTGCATTTTTAATTTTGTTTCATGATTTTAGGTTTTTTCGATGGCGAATTTCGTACGGATTTTGTTGAGGTTTGGTGGGTTGGTTGCTATAAAGAGGTGTTTACGATGTAATGGCTCGGTAACTTCGGTTAAGTGTTAAACCGTTGTAATACAGTAGTATACTATTATGAATACCGCATGATACTACCATTATCATTTTATTATACTATTATGAGATTATTAATGTACTAGAGTTTTTTAACTCGACATATTGGTTTAATTGTGTTATGATGTGTTTTATGTATTTTATCAAAACGCTAGATTGAAATTATGAGATTATTAATGTACTATTTTATTGGTTATGATGGAATACTTTACGTTGGTGTTGTTCTCAATGTTCTTGTCATTTCAGTGGTATATTGTTTGTAACACAATTTCATATCACTACTATAACCGTAATATACTATCATAGCAGATTAATGTACTATATTGAAATTATTAATATACTATGTGGTTGAATAATACGGGATCCATAGTCGATTAACGAGATCCATAGTCGAATTAGATCAATAAGATAGTCTATTACACGATATAAGGAAAATTACCCTAATTGATTAGTATTTCAAACAAACATATTATTCAGTTTCCATATATATTATTATTTTTTCATATATATTATTATTTACCCTAATCGTTTTCATATAATAAGGAAAATTACCCTAATTGATTAGTATTTAAAACAAACATATTATTCAGTTTCCATATATATTATTATTTTTCCAATAGTCAATTAACTAAACCCATAGTCGAATTAGATACATGAGATAGTCTATTAAAAGATATGAGATAGTCTATTAATTTTAAAACACAAATCCGCCGCCGTCACTTCTCAAATCTAGGGTTTTGATGATTCTTCGGCCCATAGTCGATTAACGAGATCCATAGTAAAATTATACCAGTGGGATAGTCTATTAAATGATATGGGATAGTATATTAATACAGATGTAATTCGACTATGCATCTCGTTAATCAACTATGGGCCGAGGAATTATCAAAACCCTAGATTTGAGTAACCCTAGATTGGAGCAGTGACGGCGACGGCGACGGCGGCCAACGATGATATCACTTCTGGTGGATGTCCTGCTCATCAATTGTTGCAATATCACTGATTTAGTGCTCGAATTCGGTATGCGATTATAACAGATCTGCAATTACACAAACGTGATAGTCGATTTAGCCAAAACATATCAACAAATCGATGGATGATAGCGATTCAGCGAGTGGCGACGACGTACCTACGGAGGCTTGGTCGGAGTGCAGAAAAATCGCCGATCCACGGCCGTGCAAATTTCTGGTTTTGGGAGGTTTTGCAGTTTTTTTGATAGTGGGTTTGTGGTGATAGTGTTTTAACGGGAAAATAGGGAGAGATTTGATATTATTTCAAAAGGTAAAGTAACGGGATTTGTGGGATTTGATTGAGGGTAATTATGTAATGTAGAAACGTTTGGGTTTTTATCAAAATGGCAAATTTAAGTTTGGGTCTACCCCTATTATTTGAATGTTTAAGGGGGTTATATCTAATAGACCCTTACCAAAATCGGACTAGAAAATAGTCAAACTCATCGAAGTCAAAACGACATTTAACATTCCACTGAACTTAATTTTACGCCAAATAAATATATTTTAACAAAAACATCCTATTTTTATTTTGGAAATTTAATTCTGCAAATTGAGAATTATTCTCGAATTTCATTTATGATTACATATATAAGGTTTTATTTTCAGACGAGATTACATAAATAAGTTGCAACTTAGGAAAAAGAAAATGTGTTATGAAAAAATTTAAATTAAATCTGTCAACGAATTAAATCTATTCAACGTATGTAAATAGTAAGTCAATCTGAAAGCATAAATTCTGCTTTGAAAATTTACAAGGGGTTTGTTTGGGTTCAAATCTCTTTAGTAAATTTCGTGGTAGATTTAATAATTAGTTGTTGGATTATGCTCTATATTGGATACAGATTATATATAATATTATTATATATTGTGTATTAATGAAATTAAATTTCTCAAAACATTATTATAAAAGAACTCTATTAGAAGGGGGATTTATAATATTAAATAAAAATAAAAATTACGTGCTTACGTTAGAATACTTGGAAAAGTATCATGGTAAATTTGATTTGTGTATTATTTTTTTATGAAGTGATCAAGAATATTATAACGGTAACGCAACGAGCTCTTATTATAATTGTTATTGTCATTTGTCATTTTTTTTTCTTTTGAAATGCTAGTAATTTCATAAACCGAAGACTTTTACCGGTTTTGTAGATGCTATCAACTGATGAAATACATCGGGGATTCTGAACCATTGACATCTGCACATAAAATAACATACACTTTCATGTGCATGTGTGTTTAGTAGATAGTTATTTATAGGGTAAATTACAACCAACCCTTGAGGTATGGTCAAATTACGAAAAACCCCCTCTTGTTTGCGCAATTACATCTAGCCACTCAACTATGAATCTTCTTACACCTCCACCCTTATGGTGTCATATTTAACATGATCATCTAGATTCCGTGGAATGTGCTCTAGATTGTAATCGTTTTGTGTAAAATACAGTTTCTGATGCACCACAATCTGATATGTACAAGCCAAAAAACACATCTTATGATCACCTTGCTTCACAATGTGGAGCTCGAATGAGATAAAACGGATACAAAAGTGATAATATTCCATATAATCAAGAATATTCCACTAAATTTGAAACCGCAAGGGTGAACGTGTAAGAAAATTTATAGTGATGGGGTTGTTGTAATTACCCAAACATGAGGGGTTGTTGTAATTACTCAAACAGGATGGGGTTTTTTGTAATTTTACCATACATCAGGGGTGGTTGTAATTTACCTAAATAGATCTACGGTACAAAACCAGCCAACATTTTTCACCAGGTGTAGCACATCACGGACCGACTTTCGACTTTCGACCATATTTTTTTCTATATAGGATTGTAACAAGATTCCGCGTTTTGGAAAGGATGCAGTGGTTAAAAAGACGTTGCGACAAATGCCCGCCATTGTTTTTCCAACACACAATGAAATTTTGGAAAACTTTAGTGCTAGCTACTAGCTAAGAAAGATATTATATTTGTGCATTTCTCAATTAACCACAAAAGTCTGATCTAGAATAGTACGTACACTTTAATTTAGATGGTGATAGATGATT